CACCAGTGACAATTTGACAGGACTTTCACCAGTGACAAGTTGACAACCGACTGATACCAATGACAATTTGACAAGACTTTCACCAATAACAATTTGAAAACTGACAGTTATCAGTGACAATTTAACAACCGACTTTCACCAATGACAATTTGACAAGCGACAGTTACCAGTGACAATTTGACAACCGACTTTCACCAGTGACAATTTGACAACCGACAGTTAGCAGTGACAATTTTACAAGACTTTCACCAGTGACAATTTGACAACCGACTTTCACCAGTGACAATTTGACAACCGACAGTTAGCAGTGACAATTTTACAAGACTTTCACCAGTGACAATTTGACAAGACTTTCACCAATGACAATTTGACAACCCATTTTCATTAGCGACATTTGAAGCACTCTTGATTTAATTTACATTATAAAATAAACACATATTAAATACACTACGCCCATCATTATACGCCGTGTATTTATTTATCCAAAAATCGAATTAGTTATATTATGGCTACCCCATACCGTAGTAAGGTCATGTTCACCCGGCGTCCAGTTCACCCGCACCACATTAAAATGATGCTCTTTGAGTATAGCAACTATACCTTTCTAATCAGACCATACACATCCGCACCCAAAATATGATGGAATCTTCCGGTGGTATACAGACAATTATTTATAAAATTGTCCACTGATACTGAATTTACAAGCCGGATTCAGATGTAAGAGGAGATTTTGAAAATAAAACGCTCTACTGAAAGTCTGATCTGTTAATACTATTATTAGCTGTCATTGATGAGGACTGGGCGGCTCACAGTTGTTGTGAAAATCCGTCTCCGATGGAAACTATTCTGTCTTGAACCAAGATGAGTTATGTGGCATTTAATTTACGATTATGTCTACATCGATAGATGTTGAAATATAAATGTCAGAATTGCGGTAAAAACAGATTATTTTGTTCTTTAAAGGTCAAAGGTAATTAGCATTATATATGGTGTACTTTTCATGTAATCTTCTCTTTCTGTTCACATTAGTATCGATTTCAAGTGGCACACAGAAAAAAGATTGTCTTCAACATCTGAGTATTTCCGTTTCCCCAAGTGTTATCGATTGTCACCTCTGCTCAAGGCTATGCGTTCTTAAGAAGAAAATTGGTAATCTAAAACTGAACTTAGTGGGAAACAAATCTCATTCAATTTTCTTGAGAAGTTCGCCCAAATCGTCCGGTATTAAGTTTTCGTTATTGATCATAATAGGAGGTTTGAACTGAATTGGCATTACATGGTAATGTCTCCATACTCACATAGACTCATGACATTAAGATACAGAAAAGGAGAAACACGAAGTCGACATGTAGCCCGCGTATGAATTTCGTGCGAACAAACAAAAATTTGACACCAGTTGTATACCCCCGTGTGTGTGTGTGTGTGTGTGTGTGTGGGGGGGGGGGTTACACAGAACTTGCCTGATGGGGACGTGCCCTTGAAATGGATCTCGTTTTTGGATTTTAGGTATAAGTATCGGTCTTATTTCTGGTCAAGATAGGTATAAATATCGGTAATATTTTTCCGATTTGGTACTGTTGATTCTCATTTAACAACCTAAATAACCTGAACATTGTGTTCATAATATGCTCTTATGTAAGTGACAGAGGTGTTTCTATGATCAAAATACATATTTTAATAAATCAATATACAATACAACTGTTGGCTTACATGTGCTTCTATTGGAGATGCTCTTCTAATAGAGCAAATACGGTAACTGTTTTATTTGGAATAAACAGTGGTGACAGAAATGGTACTTTGGTATAAATATGGGTATAGATTTAACCACTATCCAGGTATGAAAATTGTCACACTTTTGAGCACTCAGGGGCACCTCCCTACCCAGCTTTGTTTTAACTGTCCCCGGGTTGTTTACGTCGTATGGGTTGCATATCGAACACGACGCTCTATGAAAATTTTGCCGTTTTATGATTATGTAAATACATGTATCACCATTGTGTTCTTCTCTAACACTGTATCACTCAGATGTAATGAGTGAAGGGGTGAGGGGACGGGGCTCTTTAGTTTGATTAGCTGTGTACAACGACTGAGAATATATATAAACAATAAACTCATTAAAAAAAGAAGAAGTTGTTTGGACACTGTTCACTGCGTGTGATTTGCCGTGACCTAGGTGAACTGATCATGTTTTCCCTTGACAGTGATATACCCAAATCTGCCTGGTGTCATGTCCTCAGCAGTAGTTTCTATTAAGGCTTGGCCACAAGAAACTCTGAATGAGAAGATAGTAAAACTACTGTGCAACATTTCCCTCACTTTTATTTGCACCAGATGTTTTTTTTTTATAAACGTATTTTTGCACAGTAATTTCCTTGAAGATTATATCTTTTAAAAAAGTTCTTCGTGATTTAAAACCAAATCTACCATCCCATAGTTTCTAATGGTCAGCCTCTTAAAAATTGTTCTTACCCAGCCCCAGCACATATACTAGTATGTGATGAAATTGTGGGACTTTTCAACGGAAATCACGTGGTTTGCGAGGATTCCAATTACTAGTATAGAACAAATCGCGTCCTGAATATATCAACACCCGGGGTCGTCGAAGTACGACAGTACACAGCAGGGTTCTACTTGGCCGGATAAACTATCCCTGTCAATTCACATCAAATTAGAAGTACCTAGCGGGCAAAAATTTAGGTCCCCTTAAAACTAGGCGTAGTAGTAAAAATTGTATTTCCGTTGCATTCCACGCATTCGTTAATTAAATAAAACATTCGTTTATTCAAGGTAATGTGTACGCGCTGACCGCAGTCTGTGCCCTTGACGTTCCCGTACATTAAATCATTAAGTTGCTACACTTAACGCATTCTCAGCTCAATGGGCTGTGATCTGATCCGATCTGGCTGTGAGTGTATGAAGCTCGGAAACTCTTGCAATCAGCTATAAGTAATCACGTTTTCCTTTCTCATGTTGAAACCTCGCTATTTTGCACCTTCTATTTTGCGTAAGTTCAGATTCTTAAAATTCCACAGACAGGTTGGATTAGTTGCAGATAATTCATGTTTTGGTCAATGATCTCAACACATTAAAACAAACAGGGTGCGGTTAAATCATTAAAGGGCGGTTGTCGTCGCGCCGCGCATGTGCGACATTTGTTTTGGTAAACATTGGTTTTCCCACAATCCAAAACATACCCAATTAGAGCCTGGCAACGTGTCAGTTCGTACTCGTTGAACAGCGCATCAGTCAAAGTCGCCATCTTTGTTTATATGAGACGCACGGGTGGCGCGACGACCACCGTCCCTAAAGTTGAAAAGAAGCAAAATCTCCGTCATCACCGATTCTGTTCTCTTTCAATAAAACCACACAAGGGCACAGTCTTTTTACTCTGCCCTGTATCAGTGCACAAGTTACCATAGTGGCAGCAATCTTGTACAACTGTGGCTATTGGGATCAATACTATGCTACGTCAGCTAAATTGGCTAATAGAAACGCAGTTAAATCGGCCTATAGCAACGTTCGAACAAAAAAATATCTCAATTTATTGTCTGTTTATAAAATATGTTAAATGTAAAGTGAATGCTTTATTTACTATAATATGGATTAAAGCTCTTTAGTTTGAGACTTATATCTGTAATTTTTAACTCATTCTCGGAATAAAGGATTATTATTATGATTAGAATCAGCAATGGCGGCCATTTTGTCAATTTCACAGCGTAGATTATGTAAAACATATTTCAAAGTTGAGCACGGGGACACGGGGTGAAACTATTAAATATTACCAAACCCGGCGTATTACTCGGGATATTTTTCTTTACAAATTGCCAAAGAAATAGCCTGTATTTATCCTTATTTATGTGACTGTTTATATTCATCTAAACATCTATAGTACTTTGATTAACATCGCGGGTCACGTGACGATCAAATGTCAGTGAATAGTTGACCTTAACGTGTAAATAATTAGACATTTAGATTGACCCACATTATTTACATATACTCTGTATAATTTATTCTACTAATAAGTGACGTCATGGGTGACAAGGAGGACATTCACGGCGTCGATATTGCTTTGATTTATACTCAGTCAATATTAAAATTTGGAGTTTTTAATATTTTACTAAATTCTACACAATTGTGCACATCTTCTGCTAAACTAAACGACCGACACAAGATTAACAACGTGTTCACGCTGACTATACCTACTTTCTTTCCGGTGCCCGCCGTTATAGAAATGTAGATTGCAATTTCTGACCGTTCTAAACTTAGGCGCTATGAAAAGAACGACTTTGTAAGTCCAATTATTTATGAACGCCACAATTTGATAGGTCATCGCGCTCGACGTCATAACAAGCAAAAAGGTCTCTCATTGGCTGGCCGGACGTGGTCTCGACGAATGAGCAGCAGCAGAATGTCTGGGGGCTAATTGTACGCTGCTAATGCCAACGGTAAACATGGGTTTCGTGTAGTAATCCCAAGTTGCGATACTACAAACAACCACTTTAAACAGGAACAGATGCCGAATAGCTGGCGGCTACCAATGATTAAGGATTGGCCATTAATTTTATGGGGGTGGCTTGGGTAGTTTCAAACAAGTTTCTTTTTCTTTTCTGTGTACATGTAATTGTTTCGTCGTTGTTGTTGTTGTTGTTGTTGTTGTTATTTACTTGTTGTAATAAAAGAGGTATGTGGATCGTGCACACCCATAATCATATACGCCATCTTCAATCGCAACAAGTTTAATTCTCTGATTCTAGCAGCTAGCCACCCCAACACAAAGAGTGGCCCGAACTTAACCATGTTGATATCCAGAAGATGTCAACTAAAAAGTTGAGGAATTTACGAACTTGGCTGAAAATTCATCTGTTATCGGAACAAACGTGGCTCTACTTGAGTGTCGATGTAAACATACACACACGCTCACAGTCATCCCCACCGGGTTTTATCATATATAACCAACCGCTGCGTCAAACCACTATCACATATATAAGTCTAAAACTCACCGTATTCTTGGCTTCCCAGTTTAACGTCAACTTCTCGATACCAACACGCACGATGGGTAGATCGTCGTCTTCAGCGTCCCGTTGATAGGTGATGTCTTGTAGATAGGGCGACTGGGTTCCGTTGCGTATAACGTAGATTTCTGCTCGTATTCCTAGATATAGAGAGAAAATAGACCACATGAATCAGATATCATTGTCTATGCACCAATACAGTATCGACAAAAATGAAACCACTGTAGGTCAAAGTTTATTCTCAGCATTTGTAAAGTCAGTAAGTACCGATATGTTCTTGGTATGGCTACTAATGGTCTTTCTTTTAAAAGTGAAATAAAGTTGAGTATTTGATTCCACTTTACTACGAGTGTAGCCCTTATAGAAACAGTTACTTTACAATAGGTTTGACGTTCTTAGTAAACAAGTCAGGGAAATCAAATATTCAAGTTGGTAGAGAAAGGAGTGAAATTAACACCGCGGTAGTTTTCAAAGTAAGCTTTCTACCTTCGAGAAAACTTTCGTTTTTATCAGAATGGAATATTTACCGGTAGTTAGACTGAGATAATCTGAAATTGTCTTAATACGTGTTTCAGTTAATTTGGTATATGATAAACCTCTAGCCCTAACGGGCATAACACGGTTCATAGGTTTGAATTTCTCCGTGAAACGAGATTCCTTAGTAAATATAGACAGACATATATCTCCCCAGCTCGTTAATACAGCTAGCTACTTACCAAGAAGACGTTCTACTTGCATAGCATCGAGCCATAGCGATATACTGTCTGACGTTGTCAGTGATGAGCTCGACGCCGATCCGATCGCGCCGAGGCATAATAAGCACACTACACCAAGCATCTTACGAGGCCGCCGCGGTGCGAACACAGAACCACAGGGAGAAAGGGTCACGAAGTGACAACGTCCAACGTAGCAGAGATCCGAATGCAGAACGTTTTTACTTGTTGCCGCGTACGTTTACGGAGTGGACGATTGAGGGCTGTGTAGGGAGTTCTAACAGGCGCTGGAATCTCGGATTTTAAAAGCTATAGTTAGGCCTCATGGGAAAGGGTATTCGTAAGCTAGCGGACACCGTGGGAAAATACGACCATCGACGGAAATTCGACTGGAATTTAAAGCAGCAAACTAACTAAAAATTATACTCATTTCTTGTCATGAATTGAAGTAAAACAATATGAAATATTGTAAACGTAGTGTACATTCTCTGTGTTTCGAGTTGATCTTACCCACTTCACAGAATGGTGTCACCCACACTGACATTTTAATGGGCGGGCATGGCAGTGGATTCTTATTACTTGCGCTTGGTACACGATACTGTTACCAGAATGAGTCGGTATCTGTTGCTAACTTGATAATTACCAACAATCGGAGAAATCAACCAAGGTACCATACCCCGAGTGTCCATTTCAATTAACACTAAGGCAGAAATACACATGACAAGTGGTTTATTTCATACTTAAGCCGTTGTGTATGTAAGAAAAAAATGTTTGGGTTACGTTGATTGCGCCGTTATATCAAGCTGGTGAGAAGTATTAACAAGCTTGACCGAATTAACCGTTATACACACACGGTCGGCAACTAAATGGACTAAATCAGAAATAATCTAAGCGTTGAATTGGACGATCGAATTTTTCGCCATTATGTATGAGCGACTTCCTGATATATTTTTGCAATTTCCAGATTCAGTGAAACCAGAAATCGTAATTTCTAGTAGAGTATATGAAAAGTTACAGTCGAAATAGGTTCGAATTGTGGAACATTTTGTATTGTAAAAAAGTTCAATACGATTTTAGTTTGATTAATCGTATTTTTTTATCGCACCGAGGCGGTAATTAGGTGATATCAGTGATTAATTGGCCACGACACGATGGTAGGTGAAGTCATTCGACTGTGAATAGTACCCGTATTACTAGCATCAAAACACGATGTCCCATGAAATACAGCGCCTCCGACGTGGACTGGGATAATACAATTGAACTAATCAATTATACAACGCAAAAATAACAAAGTAATTATTTTAATTAAATAACAATAATTAGAAAATAACAGCACGCATCAGCAAGTTTGTCGATTCATTAGTCATAGCAATGCCGTTTCGGAAGAGGATAAGTTTCACTCCATGGCCAGTATGATTACGTCATGTCTACCATTCTGTACACCACTACTCGTATTTTATTTGGCGGAACATCAGCTACTCTTCAATGTTGTGTCGATTCTCGTTCTCCGATCGCGGCTATATACTAGTCACCAAAACCTCATGTTTGACGAATTCACCACCACTATGACGTGTGCGCACTTAAACCGGCATACCACGACAAACCCTTGGTTTGGCGGTACACACCCAACTATACATAGTTACCATCGAACATGGTGCGTATATGCATGCGAATTTATAGCTGGCATCTTTCAGCGGGTAATCGGTCATTGTCAAATTCTGTCTCAGTAAACGCTTGTGTATCACTTTGTCAAAACAAACTATCGGTGTGAACTGCTCGCTCGGAGAAAACAGAAAACCGAACCTTTGTTTACTGTAAATGCCCAGTCTCGTATGTGCATGAAAATGAATTGAACCGTGGAAGATCCGCACGTTTTAGTTTTGGACGCGGTTGCTCGGGAATCCGGCGTATTTGGTCGATAATAAATCCGACCATGTTGCCTTCGTAGTATTTTACGACGATTGTATATATTTACTGGAGGTGATTTAATTTGTAGTGAATTGTCCGTGTGTTTAATTTCTATATTGTCGGATGTCAAGTTGAAAGCTATCAGCCCTGGTATATTTTTTTGCACAAGGCCCGCTTGATATGGTGATATCCAGACATTGTTGGTCAGTAACCGAGAGCCGGGATCAGCTATTTTTCTATTTAATTTATTTGATACAACACTGATTATAAATAGTACAGCAAATTGGACACTAATATCTACAGTTATTATCTATAAAATATAATAGACACTCTTGGTATCCACAACACTCAATAAATAAACAAACTTATATTCTTGGTTTAATTTGTTAAACTCTGGGATGTTGATTTGTTAGTATGATTTAAATTCTGTATTGGAGCACTGCAATATGTAATACGTCCCATCTCCGATAACTGTTGAGTCACATAGTTGACAAATACGTGTGTTTATATATGTGTTACTAATAACGCCCTGTTTCTTTGGGCAACCGATGGTTGGAAGCTGTAGTTGATGTGTTTTTTTCCATTCCAGTTTTTGTGTAAACTACTTTTTATAATGTTCTGCAATCCTTTCTCCAGGACTGAGTTTGTAGCCAGTGGTTGATGGAAGTTTATAAATGTTTCTTTTTTTATGAAAAGACACGAAAGACAATTTATTTTTGCATTGTCTTTGATTAAGCCACATTTTTACCGCACGTGCTATTTAATATGTATTGCAGTTGTAGAATGCATTTCTCACTTCCACCGACGTTTTTCACAGCGACACGAGTTCTGGTCTTTTGTAAATTGATTAACGGCGTCTTCGTGGCGAGCCGATGTACCGATTGAGAATGAAATCACAGTTTCAAATCTTCACCGTATTACCCGTGATAGTTACGTTATGTTTGCATTGTAAACCAATGCGTGTAGATTTACGGATTGGAGTGAGATTGAATAATACTGAAATAAACAGACACGTATGTAAATAAACATGTCATAGTGGTTCGAGGGCACCGAGTACTGTGAACCGCACAGAAGTCGACTTCCTGCGCAAACCCGAGACAGTATTGAACGAAATAGTACAGACGAGTTGTTTGCTACAGCTTCCATGTGTGGCGATCACGGGTTTGATCAAAATGGCAGATAAAACATAGGTTTTTCAATACAATTGTGCGAACCCTTTATTCCTTAGCAACCCCTTTTATGCCATGCCTGTATCCCAAACAAATTTATTAAATACGATATAAGAATAAGCAGCCCTTAGATTTGTTAGTGATTAGAAAATATCTACCGCTTTTGAAATGATGGATGTATATTTGACTGAATTTTCTCGTTAGTGTTGTAAGCACCCTACTGTATCCACCGAAAGTAGCTTTCCATACCGGCAACCGGAAACGAAAACTAAATTTGGTACGGCGGAAAATTAACTTTATGGTTTGCAGAGTCACATGCACATAGTTATGATCTTGCACGCCTATTCACTCCAACATAGCCTTTTAAAACAATTAAACATAATGGTGTCTAATGCATTTCTTTCTACATTAAAATGCCCGAACACAATGTTGTCAATGGTCCAGTACGCCCAACTGAAATCATAACCTTTAAAATGTGAAAGTACACTGGATGAAATCATAGATGTAAAAG